GCCCAAGACCCCGAGAGGAGAATGGAGAAGGGATTGCGGCGTGGCCATCTCCCCTGGGGGGTGATTTCTCGTTGTCTCTCTGTCTCTCTCTGTTTTTCTGGCGAGCACAAGCACCCTATAGGAAAAAACCTCTACCAAAAAAATATATATTATTTATTTATTTATTTAATTCTATTTGGTATGATTATTACTATTTTTTTTTATTTGACCAGACAGAGACAGAGACAGAGAGAGAGAAAAGGAAAGTGAAAGAGCAAGCCACCAGGTCCAGGATTTGAATTGCAGTCAGCCATGTGGGAATCCAGCACCCTTAACCACCATGCCACCTGCCAGCCCCTAAATAAAACAGTTCTTTAAAAAAAAAAAAAAAAGGATGACCCTTGCTGAGCTTGAGGTCACAATCACCCAATAGGTGCCTGGCATAGCTGGCCAAGAGTTTACCTTTTTGGAGACTGGATTCGAGAAACAGTCTTCCATGCAGAGCAGTCTGGACTGTTACAAAACTCTCGAAGTTCCTCTAGAGCCTTTCGGGTCTCCACTTCTCCTTGTATCCGATATTCTTCTTCTGTCAGGAGACGAGGGGGAACAGGCTTTTCTGTTGCCTTACATATCTTTCTGTGCTTACCAAAATAACATCATGAATCATTAATCAGTAATCTATATCCCTCCTTACCTCTAGCTCCCTTCAGTGGGCCAAGCATACAGCCTGAATGTTAGGAGTCATCACTCCCACCTTGCCTCCACAGATATCTTCAGTAATAACAGGTTCCTGACACATAAGACTATGAGTAACAAGTCAGGGTACCCAATATTATTCACTAGTGTGAATAAATTCATTTATTTTCCAATAAATTATAGACAAAGTATTTTTTCTAATAAATGGAAAAGTGACAAGAAAATGATGACATAAGATTGTGGTCTAATAACTTGGTTCCCCAACTGAAGGCAACACATCTTGAACATCTGCAGTAGACCGTCTACTGATAACCTCAGAGCCTATGTCCACTCCATATTCACTAGGCAAGGTGAAAACATCCTGTGTAAGGTGATAATAATCTATGTATTCCATCTTAAAATAAGACTAAGACTTCCAGAGCAATCTGAAAGCCAACGTAAAAAACATCTGAAACCAGGTGACCTGAAGTATGTGGTATGAAAATGGTATCATTTGCACCACCTAGTGGTAACATGAAGACATGACACTTTACTGAATGCTTTTATTTTATATAAAATGACTAGAATATAAGTGCCTACACAGAGTCTAAAAAAAATTGACTCAGAAAGGATCAAAAGTAGAAGCATAGTACAGTAATTTTTCATAACAAAAAGGTTCCCAGGTCAACATCTCTGTATCCATTTGCTCCAACTGCATCCCGCAATGCCTGTGTGAATGCAAAGTTACTCTGCCTTTCAGTCACCTGTAGGTGATGTACAGCCACTGAATAGGATATTCCAGGTTCTTAGTACACAGAGCAATGATGATCATGGCAAGCGCAATGTGCGGTATCTGGATGGCAGAATACATGAAACACAGGCCCATCAGCTGCAAGGTCCATGTCAGCAGGTTGATACTTCGTTCGTTTTCCAAGGGTCCATACTTGTAACACACTGCGAAACTCATGAATCCAACTGTGAGGACGTAGCCTATGAGAAGAGTTATCAGAAGACATTATTTTTCATTTACATCTGGTAAAAATAATTTGTGTGGGAAGCAGCAGTAAGCTCACTATTTAGCACCTATGAAATCAGGAAACCTGACTGTGTCTATCCTTCCTGTCATCCCAGATTCATTTGGTTCAAATGGAGTACTAGAGCTACATGTTCAACAACTCTGAAACAGTCTTTAAAAAAAAGATCATGGATGGGACCAGCAGGTGGCATAGTGATTAAGAGTGCTGGACTCCCAAATGGCCAACTGCAGTTCAAGTCCTGGACCTAGCGGCTTGCTTTCTCACTCTCTCTCTCTCTTTCTCTTTTGGCAAATTAAAAAAAATAAAGTTAAAAAGAAAAAATCTTTAAAAAAAAAAAAAAAAAGGTCATGGAGGCCAGTAGGTGACATGGTGGTTAAGGCACTGGACTCCCACATGGCCGACCACAATTCGACCTGGTGGTTTGCATTCACTCTCTTTCTGTCTCTTTGGTGAACTTGAATAATAATAATAAATAAAATTAAATTAATAATTCTTAAAAAAATATATCATGAAAGTCACCTCTCAAAGGATACATCAAGGATAGCTATCTGTATAAATAAAGGATTCTCCACTTTATAGATAAGAGTCACTGCAGAGTTCTTTACATTTTTTTTTTT